CCTCGACAGCTCCCCCTGGCAGGGGAGCCAAAAGCCACGTGAGCATACACCGTCGGAGGTCCGCGGGGATGTCCGGGACCTGCGCTGAACCCACCCCACTGGCGCACGGAGCGCGCTGGGGGCGGCGCCGCAGGCGCCGCTGGGCGGGCCCAGCGGCGACCCAACGAATCCGCGCGGACCTCTGAAAGTTATGGTCGAGCTTGATTGAAGGGGACGCGCGAGAGGGCACAACATCCTCCCGAGGGTCGCGAGGCAGAGGGCACGAGGGTACCCTTGACTTGGATGGGTCGACCTACTACGACAGGCTCGTATAGGGACGACCCTGGCGTTGGTTTCTGACACCACGTGGATCGTTCAATCTCGGATGATCGGCGGCTTTCGCTCGCCATCGCTCGGACGTCGATTCCCTGTGTTTTGTTCGGTTTCGTGCGTGCTTTTTTCGCCACATGGTCAAGGATGCTCCTCGATGGTCCTCGCCGGAGGAAAAATGCACACGTCCGAGCGATGCCAAGTTCGGATCGCCAGATCGTCCCTTACTGGCCGCTTCTGGGCCACTGGCGGCGCTCAACACTTCGAACAACCGCTGCGGGGTCGCGGCAAGTCGGCACGGACACGACACGACACTGCCGACATCAGACTCGACCGTGTGCTGGTTCGTGTCTTCGTCTCTGTGTCGGCCTGGGCTGCACTGGCGGAGCAGCGACCGGCACGCCCGCACGGGAGCTGGGCGTGGATGGCGGCGAAGACCGAGGTCGGTGCCCCGAGGCGCATGGCGTTCACGTGCACGAGCGAGAAGTGCTGCGCTGCTCGGCCGACCTTCATCTGGTCCTGGACGATTGCCGGCTGGCGGCAGCGCCCTCGCCCCTCCTTCGTTCCTGCCCGTCTTCGTCGTGCCCCTGTTCTTCCTCCTCCCCCTGCTTTCTCTCCCCGTCCCTATCGTCCAACCCCTCCCGAGTGGGAATGATAAGGGGGGGGGGCTGGCTCAACACCGAGCTGGCGATACACCGCCGATAGATCGGCGGCAGGCCCCCGATAGCAAACCCGGATGGCCTGAGCGGGGTGGGCTATCGGGCCGCTATCGGCGACCCATAGGCGATTGGGGGTCGATGCATCCCCCTCTGAGCCTATCACCGTCCCCAGTGGGTTTCAGACCATAACTTGGGTCTCTGGCTGCTGTTCGGGACGATCTGGGCACCTCTGGAACGCTCTCGGCGAGGCGCAGCTGCTGGAGAGCACCCCGAGGCTGGAAGACCGCCGAGAGTCGACAAAAATGATCGAAGACCTCAAACCTCGAAGCCCCAACGTTGTCCCCCTAACATCAATCCGCAGCCCCATGCAGAGGTCCCAACCGCTTTCCCAGGGCCAATTGTATAAACCAGGATGCTCGATTGATGGCTCCAGGGCCAGAAACACGGGTAACAGAGGCCGAAATCACGGAACAACGCCCAGACCTACCCTAGCGCTGCTCCCGAGGTCCACCGCGCGCAACACGCTGGCGGTCTTCCCCGTGCCGGGCATGCCAGAGACGTAGAGCACTTGCGCGGTGCCGCCCTTCGCCACCGCCGCCCGCAAGTGCTTCGCGAGGCCCGCCTGCTCTGCCTCCGCGGGACAGGGGGGTGCACAAATCGGGGAGACGCAAGGCTCGGGTTCGGGGGACTCGGGTTGGCCTGACGGGGTCATCATAAAACTGACGAGTCGCAATCCGAAATTTGACGCGAACTCCCGCTGCAGACATCCCACGGAAACTGGACCGTCAAAATCCAGGACGCGCTCGACAGGAAGCGCAGGCGAACCAGAATTTCGGCGCACTCGAGTCTTGCGTATCCCCGAACAGATGAAAGAACGCAGAAGGGTGTTTTCATCAATGAGGCGTTGCCTAGACGTTTCTTGCTTGACGTTTGAAGGACAAGAGGGGTGCTGGGCCTACGCCGGTCGGCCTTCCCCGGGTTCCTTGGTGCCTTAGCTCCTTGGTCCCCTGGTCTTGGTTCCCTGCTGCCTTCCGCTGATTTCTTGGTCTCGACTCCTTGGTTCCTTGGTCTTGGTTCCTGAATGCCTTGGTCCTGGTTCCTTGGTTCCGCGGTATTGGCTCCTTGGTTCCTCGGCTCCGTGGTTCTCTGGTCTTGGGTCCTTGGTTGATTGGCTCCGTGCTGCCTCGCCAAGCAGTGCCAGACAAAGCCACGCAATGCAAAGGAACGTCATACAATTCCAAGCAATGCAGTGCCAAGCAATGCCAAGCAATGCCAAGCAATGACAAGCCATGCAACAAAATGCCAAGCACCACCAAACAATATGCCAAGACATGAAAAGCAATGCCACGCAATGTACCCATGCAATGGAAACATTTCCCCTAATTGGGGTTGCGACGGATTGATAGCAAAAGGGCGGGGAAGAACGTGAAGGAAGCGGGCGAGGGTACTTGCGGCATGAACCGCGGTTTCGGTTTCAGTCCACCAGCAAAGGAGGAAGATCATAATAGAGTGCACGAGCACGAGCAGCACTGGCGCTTGGTCACTCCCAAGGCCTAGACTGGGTCGAGTCGCAGGTCTGTCTGCCGCGCTCTGGCAAAACAGAATACGTGAACCTTTCAATTTCCGTCTAGCAACCAATACCATTCAACTCTTCTGGAACAGGAGCCATGCGTGCAAAAGTAACTAACTTCAGCAGACGAGCCTGAAACACATCGACCCCCGAGCATATCACCCTACCGTTGGTCCTGATTGGGTACATTACCCAACCACAAACGTCGTCCAACACCGCCAGCGGCCGCTGTTGGGAGGGAGCCTCGTGTACCAAATGGACAACGTCCGCAGCGACACCGACAGCGAGTCCTGCTCAAAGTGGACACGAAATGAAGGTGGCCTCCGCACCCATGTCTCGAGCACACGCTAACATGGATTATGGATCCGTGGATCTGGCGCGTGGGCGCCAGTTCCACGGATCGGCAAGGGACCCCCCGAAGCATGAGGCAAATGCCGCCTAATTCGGCGACGGAACGTTCCGTTTTCTCATGGAAGCGGGACCCACCGCGAATCCACGCGCCCTCATCCATGTTCGCGCTCCTTGAACTTCGACCGTCCCGCATCAATGACACGCCGCCGTGGTGAACCCACGAGCATACAACGGATTATGAGACACCAAGCTTCCTGACAGAAGCGAAAGAGTCATGCTGATGGACACCCAGCGCGGCTGATCGGCTTAACGGATTTCTCGAGAGCACTCTAACATGGATTACGGATCCGTGCGTCGAGCGCGTGGGCACCGCCAAGGAAGGACCCCCCTGAAACAAAGAGGCCAATGCCGCCTGATTCGGCGGTGGGGCGTGCCCATTCTGCACGGAAACAAAGCCCGCCGCTGATCCACTCGCCTTCATCCATGCTTGCGCTTCCTCGGGTCGATGCACAGAACCCCCTGAGCCCATCCGTGGTCCCGGTAGTTTTCAGGCTACGTCACTCAAGCCTCCTGCGGCCGATCGGGACGATCCGGGCGCCCCATGAACGCTCTCAACGAGGCGCAGCTGCTTGAGAGCATCCCGAGGTTGGAAAGCCGCTGAGTTCCAACAGAACCGCCCGAACGCCGATCGCTGTCTCCTATCGCTACACCTGCGGGCCTGCGGATGGGGACAAGCAGGTCGTACCGAAAACCAGTCTTCACCCGCCCCGCGCCTCCCGGCAGGGCATCACGCCTGGCGCGCCGTCTGGCCGCAGCGCCGTTGCGGCCCTCTCCAGCACGGCCTGGCAGGCGGCCCCACCACCCACACGGCCGCCGCAGGGGCCAGGCCACCCCCCTTCGAAGAAAGTAAGAGAGGGAGGAGGCGGAGGAGGATGAGAAGGCGGAGGAGGAAAAGGAGAAGGAGGAGGAAGAGGAAGAGGAGAAGGAGGAGAGGAGGAGGTGGAGGAGGAGGAGGAGGAGGAGGAGGAGAAGGAAGAGGAGGAGGAGAAGGAGGAGGAGGAGGAGGAGGAGGAGGGGGAGGAGGAGGCGCACCCAATCCACTGTCGCCCCCCGTCCACCCTCCCCACACTCCGCTTCCTCTTCCCCCGCTCTAGTTCCTCCTCGACGTCCGTCCTGCCCGGGGCTATCTGTCCACCTTGTCATGATCCTCCTCCGCCTCATCTTCGAATTCTTCCTCGTCCGGTTCCTCCGCCTCCTCCTCTACCTCCTTGTCCTAATCCTCCAACGTTTCCCCCTCCTCCATTTCCACCTCCTCACCCATGAGCCTGCCCTGCCTCCCCCTGCTCCTCCTTTGACCAGCGCAAAAGGGAGGGGCTCGCGGGAAGGCCTTCTCCGAGTTCACCATACCAGCAAGCGTGGCTGCCGCGGCCTCGACTTCCTTCCTTCGGGGGGCGCACTGTTGACCCACGCCTTTGGTCACAAACGCCCGGACCAAGTCTCGCTACTCCTTCTCCTCGAGTTATTTTACGAAACGGCCCAGAATATTGTGTCATTGTGATTGGTACATGGTTTGTCTCCACTACGGCCCCTTGGCCTCCAGTCTCAATGGCTGGAACGCTGGCGGAAAACATGGCACGATAATGTGACCCGTCAAGCGGGAACTACGTAAGGTGCGTGTGTGTGCGTGCGTGCCCGACCTTAGTTAGAGAAGGTGAGTGCGCGCACACCTTTTTCACATCGCAGCCCAAACAGCTGCGGTCAACGCGAACATGGCCTGCGGCAGTGCGCGGCCAGGTCGGCGGCGGCGAGAGGCGACCGCAGGGACGGAGCCAGACTTACTCTCCCCGCGGCAGGATGCGTAGGCCTAACATCAGCCCCCTCCGGAATTGCCAGAGTTCGTGCTATCCCTGTGCTCAATGGCCCCCCAGGCGCTCATCCCCAAAACAGTTTCTACAGCGCACGGGGCGGGATAGCGACTACTCCTTGCAATTCCCTGAAGCGAACCGAAGAAACTGGCGCATCCCGTAGATAAAACAATGCGCAATTCACCATAACGTCATTTATCCGAACCGTCGTCATGATCTTCAAGAACGTGTAACCACCGAACAACATACGGGTGAGCCGTGCATTGTCGTTGTCAGAAGCGCGCTGGCCCGAGGCGACGCACGGGTAAACCACGCGCTCCTCATATATGACCGGCAGCTGATAATACTAGAGTGAACCAACAAACGACTTCCAAAATGCATGTGGTATCACGTCTTGTTCTTCGAACCTTTCAAGTGTTTTTCGAAGGAACAAACCTCCTGTTGTGCTCGGATAGACCCTGCCACTGCCATTTGCCGAAGTACTCGTGGCACACCCGCCATCCATTTCCAGCATAGTAGTACTATTACGTATCCCAGCTCCCACTTCCATCATCGGCATGCGCCCTCTGGATATCCCGACCTCTCTGTCTCATCTCAGAGGGCGCCACTGAAGCCGCGGCAACGGACGGCCCTTCCGCTTGAATTTTCGTCGCCGACACGCGCGTCTGCCGCGCGACTGGCCGTGGTCGGCGGCGTACTTCCGTGGCCCCCGGGAACAGGTCATCGGAGATTACGGCCGGCGAGGAGGCGGCGCCGGTGGCCGAGACAAGTGAACAGACATGCCGCTCCATCGTGGCCGGCTTCCACTTGAACCGGCAGCCGCACCATGAGCATCTCCCACCTGCATTGCACATCCTGATGCCGAGGCACCGCCACTGACTGAGTCAGCAGCGGCCCCAGCAATCGGCACGGTACTCGGACTGGCCCTGGCCGCTGAGGCAGCGCCACTGGCCAAGCTGGCAGCGGCCTCAGCGCCTGCCACACTCATGTTATCATCTCTGCCAGTTGTTGATTTTTCGTCGCCGTCGACATCTCCGCGGCCCACGTCGTCGGCTGAGCCGACAGTGGGCCTTCCCTCTTCTCTGTAGGCACGGATGCCCCCACGCCTCGACCAAAATGGAGCTCTGCACTGCCGATCTGACCTCGCCGTCGACCGCTCAGACGTCAATCCTTCCCCGTTCGAGGCAGCGTTCGGCTCCGAACGGAACCTCGGCCGCAGCGCCCCCATCAGGCAAAGGCACATGGCGGCGCTCCGACATGAACTTGGCGACCAAATCCCCATTGATCGAAAACGCCCCAAAAACCGCGGCTCAAGAGGGGACCTAAGCGTTTGCCGGAAGAGGTCAACGCAGTGCTCGAAGCATTCTGTAGGCGAACGGTGATCTTTGCTGCTGCCCGCCTCTCTGACGCATCCCACCAGATACTGGGCAGCCACGCTCTTGGCATGAGCCTCGGTAGTGAGAACGCAGCTGGCCGCGGCGGGAGTTTCCTCCAAATTAAACAGCGGCTGGTCCTCGCGATCGTCTGGTTTGCAGATGCCAATTCTCGCATCACCGGTCGCGCACGTGGCAGTTGTGGGAGCGAGATCGAACGGGAACACCACTTGGTCCTCACAATCCCCAGGGCGGGGCGCACAGATGACGTCTGAGGGGCAGCTTCGCGCTCCCAAGACAATGGCCCACCCTCTCCCAGCTCCTGAGTAAGCTTGGACCGTCGGGCAATGGATCTGCTTGCGCGATGGGTATGTCCTTGAAGTTACCTACGTCCGCAATCGGATCACCCGCATGCGTCGCAGGATTCTAGACCTGAGAACTAGGCTGACCAGCTGCACTTCCTGGACCACGGCTAATTGCCGCAGCCACAGCGAGCCGAGCTGGCGCAGGGAGACCCATTCCCTCGGGCGCCAGAGTCTCTTCCCATATCTTCCGCCTGTCGCGGGGTACGGTGACTTCGTCCCTCACGCCCTCCTAATCAAAGATCGCCAACTAGGGGCGAGCCATGTGCATTGAGTACTGATCTATCAGCTTCAACAAGTCACGTCACCAAGCTGCGACGCACGCGTTGTGGACTCGAAGAACCTTGTCTCGGGCGGTTCCATGAACCTGACACGCGGCTGATTTCTCATCGGAGGACGGTCGAGCAGATGCGCAGCCTCCCACGAGGGGACGGAGCCCGGCTCGTTGCTGAGCAACGGTTGCTTTCCTCGGGACACCTCCATCCGCTGATGGTAGCTATCGAATCATCTCTGCTTCGACTTTTCGTACATCCGAAGATGACCTTCAATAGTGGACGACGAACTCCATGTTTGCTGAGTCGCTGCTTCCCATGGACCACGTAGTTGAAGGGCGTCTTAGGGTCGCTCTTTATCAGGTATGGTTGCTTCGTCCTCGAACTCCTGTGCCAGGCGCTGCTCCTCCAAGAGTCGTTATTGATGCTGTCGGTGCTGCAACCGATTAGCTGGGTCCCCCGATGAACCAGCTCGTTGTTTGTCGCGCTCTCTGCCACGAGCGCTGTCATCACGCTCGTCGAAGCGATGCCTTCGCTCTCTGTCAGCACGTCGCTCTCTGCTTCCCCGTTGATAAGGCTCTCTGCAGGCGACTGGCGTCGAAGGGACCCGATCTCCTCTGTCACTGCGAGAGCCACTTGACTCGTCACCTCTGCGTTTGGTTCTTCGTCGTCTTTGCTTCGGACTCGATGAGCTGGATATGTTGCTGCTGCTGGCCATGTCGAGAAAGTGCGCCGTGGAGCTTCGACCAAAGAGGAAGCGTTCAACACAGCGACATGTTGCGCGAGGACCTGCTGAGAGCCACATGCGAAAATAAGGAAGGCCGCCAGCCAGGCCGTGAGAGAATAGTTGACCAGATGGCAACTCACCCTTGTTGTTGCTGCCAGCACATAGAGCCGAGTATCGGATGGGCCTACCCCGCTCAGGGAGTTAAGAAGTAACCATCTTGGCCTTGAGCCAAAATGGCTACGGATGCTGAGGATGATGACGACGATGATGATGGTGATGGTGATAAGGATGATGATGATGATGATGATGATGATGATGATGATGATGATGATGATGATGATGATGATGATGATGATGATGAAAATGATGATGATGATGATGGTGATAAGGATGATGATGATGATGCTGATGCCGCTGCTGCCGATGATCGTCAGCATCATCAGCATCAGCATCATCACCAGCCCCACCACAACCACCATGACCATGACCATGACCATCACCATCACCATCATCATCATCAGCATCAGTATCAGCATCATCAACAGCATCATCATCATCCACCGCCACCACCACCACCACCATCATCACCACCCATCCACCCACCCATCCATCCATCCCTGCGGCCGCCTCCGCCTCCTCCGCCTATTATATACATTCTCCCTCTACTTCTCATCATCACCACCACCATCATCATCATCATCATCAGCATCATCAGCATCATCATCATCATCATCATCAGCCTCTTCCTCCGCCTCCCTCCCCCTTGTCTGCCCCCTGCCACTTCGCTACTCCTCCGCGCTTCCGAACCAGCACGGGCGCTCCTGCCCCGGGTGGCCCGTTGACCGCCCGCCAGGTCTACGACCACGCTGGAGGACATCCCCTTGCTGGACAGCGACGACGCCAACATCTGCGCGCGATGCTCCGCCTTCGACGGCGGAGGCTCCCGGGTCGCACAGCTTCGAGCACCGCGCACCGCGATGCGCGACTATCGGAGCAGGGCGAGTTGAGACAACTCGGCGGCGAAGGATGGGGAAGGACGTGAAAAGGAGAGAAAGCCTTGTCAGAAGGCGGCGGGACTTCTCGGAAGCACCCTCGCACCACCTGACAAGATTTTGGTGCTTTCTGGGAAGGCTTTGAGAGCCTCTCAGAAGGCCGGGAACTTCTGAGCCTTCTGAGAAGGCCCGCCCCTTCTCACTTCCCTCTGGGCTCGCCTCTGGTCCCCCGACCCTTCGCGGGGCCCCAAGGCACCAATTCTCCGAGCGGCGTCCGACCGTGGCGACGAATGGGCTCCCAGAAGGCCAACTACCGCTGCCTCGACTCGCCCCTCCCTGATGCTGCCTTCGCGCCCTCGCGCCCTCGCGCCGCCCCCTGGTATGAAGGGGCCCAGGGACACACAAAGAAATAGACACAAATAACAGGATTCCCAGAATGTTCATATATTTTCTGAGTTTTCGTCTTCCCCCCCACTTCCCATATTTTTCCATACGTACCACCCCGCAATTGCGGATAAGAGTGAGGGGGCGGGCGCGGGCGACGCGGGCGTCGAGCCCGCGGACCTCGTGGCCATCACCTTCCCTGTCGATGGCGCCCTCCTTCTCCTCCTCCTCCTGCTGCTCCTGCTCCTCCTGCTCCTCCTCCTCCTGCTCCTCCTGCTCCTCCTGCTCCTCCTCTTCCTCGTCCGCGACCGCGTCCTCGTCCTCATCGTCGTCGTCGTCGTCGTCCGCCTGCTCCTCCACCTCCTCCTCCTCTTCCTCCTTTTCCTCCTCCTCCTCCTCCTCCTCCTCTCCTCCTCCTCCTCCTCCTCCTCCTCCTCTTCCTCCCCCCTCCCGATCCTCCCCCCTCCTCCTTTCCGTCGTCGTCGTCGTCCTCGTCCTCCTCCTCCCACGCCTCCTCCCTCGTTTCTCGTCGTCCCCCTCCGTCCCCCCCTCCTTTGCCTCCTCGCCCTCGTCGTCGGCCCCATCTTCGTCCTCGTACTCGTCGGCGTCGTCGTCGTCGTCTTCCTCCTCCTGCTCCTCGCCCTGCTCCTCCTCCCCTCCTCCGCGGCAGCAGGCAACTGGATCGTCAATGAACGTGTTCAGACACAGCCCCGCCGCAGGCGCCGATGTACTGTTGTAGAGTCACCGTGGGCCGGATCGGGGGAATGGCACGAGGGCGCTTTCCCAAACCAATGCGAGCAAGCCCGCCGCAGGCGCCGATCTGCGTGCTCTGACAAGTTCAGCGCGGGGGGCATCGCTGGTGGGCCACCCCGAACGAATTCAAAAGAAACCCGCCGCAGGCGCCGAAGTTTTGGCTTGTTCAGTGAACGTAGTTTGGGTCGCGGGTGGGCCGCGCGCTCTCCACCTCCACCTGGAACGAATTCAAAAACAGCCCGCCGCAGGCGCCGAAAATTTTGATTTGTACACTGAACGCGGTTTGGGTCGCGGGTGGGTCGCAGGTTCTCCACCTGGAACGAATGCAAAAGAAGCCCGCCGCAGGCGCCGAAAATTTTGGGCGGGTCGCAGGGTGGGTCGCGGGTGGGTCCCGGGTGGGTCGCGGTGGGTCGCGGGTGGGTCGCGGGCGCGGTTTGGGTCGCGGGTGGGTCGCAGGCTCTCCACCTGGAACGAATGCAAAAGAAACCCGCCGCAGGCGCCGAAAATTTGGGTGGGTGGGTCGCGGGGTGGGTCGCGGGTGGGTCGCGGGTGGGTCGCGGTGGGTCGCGGGTGGGTCGCGGGTGGGTCGCGGGTGGGTCGTGGGGTGGGTCGCGGGTGGGTCGCGGGCGGGTCTCGGGGTTGGTCGCGGGTGGGTCGCGGGGTGGGTCGCGGGTGGGTCGCGGGCGGGTCGCGGGGCGGGTCGCGGGTGGGACGACGACAACAACAACAACAACAACCAACAACAACAACAACAACAACAACAGCAGCAGCAGCAGCAGCAGCCGCAGCAACAACAACAACAACAACAACAACAACAACAACAACAACAACAACAACAATTACTAGCACGTGGGGACACACCGTTCTCACCAGTGCCAGGGTTTTCATAGGAGGCGGGCAATACCCCCACTTTGTGGGGGGGCCGGTTCAAGCTCTACCAAATTTCCAAACGACTCTTCGCCACCACCCACACCCAGCTTCCCGCCCTATGACGTTCGGACACTTCACTTCGTGGCATGCGGACGACCGTGGCTACTATTCAGGGCCCCGCGGCCGACGACGACGGCGTGCGCGCGCGAAGAAAAAACGAATGTGTCCCGCATGGTATTATTTGACAGGGATGATGGCCCTGGCAGGTGCGCAACCGTTGTTGCAGAAGTTCGAAAAAGTTGCTCGCAAAAGCCCGTTTGACAGAAATGTTTAAAAAGTGTTGGGTTTCCTACGAATCCGCAAGAGCGCGCGGGATGAAATTTTGACATTTTTTTTGAAAAACCATTGGTTTTTTGATGTTTTTATGTTAAAATCGCTACGAAAACTAAGGTTTTGGAAGGATTTCGTCTTGCGCGCGCGAATGTCCACTTTACCTTATTTTTTGCAAGGGATTCTTGAAGTTTGGTTATGTTAGAACAAGAAATGTCCACTTTAGCTTATTTTTTGCAAGGGAAAACCGATCGTAACAACACAACCGGATCCGGACCAACCCGTTTTGCCTGAGACTTCCTCACGAAAATGATGAAAATGAGGCTGCGGCCTAGGCGCGGCGGGGGGGTCGTGCACCAGGGGTCCCAACAATAATTATTCTTTAGAAGTAATAATGTTCAACAACAACAACAACAACAACAACAACAACAACAACAACAACAACAACAACAACAACAAGAATCCGCATCGCGGAATTCCACTTCAGCCACGCATCCAGGGATTGTGAATGACCGTTCGGTTCAGTCCCCTCACTCTGATTTTCTGAGGAATCGACGCTCCTGATGGTAGAAGGGCAGGCACTCTGGACCGGACAACGGCGCGAGAAGCTGCCGGGCGACGGTGCAGGCGACGGCGACGAACACGGCGACTGCGACAAGTGGCGGAAGGAGTGGGAAGGGGAGCCTCTCGGGATGAAGCAAATGGGTCTAGAGGCCAGGAGGCAACTTCTGGGAGATCTTCGCGAGAACGATGGGGAGCTAGTAGGCCCGCCACAAGGGTCACGAGGCCGGATTAAGCCAGATCTGAGGCCCTGAGGCCTGGGGAGGACCCCCAGAAGCCGAGAACGGCGAAACAAAAACCCCAGAACTCCTTTCCCCTCAGGACCGCCACTGTCACGGCGAGATCCCCACGACGAGCACGAATTTTCGGAGCTGCGAGCGCATTTCTCGGATCCGCACTGGAAACCTCTCCGGCGCTGCCTCTGGCGCGCTCCGCGCACCAGACAGAGGGAAGTCCAGGAAATCCGCGCGGAGCTCCGACAGTTCATGTTCATGCTGACTTTTCGTTCGATGACTGTCCCCGAGAAGACACCTGAACGCCGCCAATTTTCGCCTTCTTCTCCGGAGTAGGGGCATCGCTGGCCGGCACCGATCTGGGGCGGCCGCGCTTCCTGGCGGGCGGGCGTCAGGCGTGGGGAACAGAGGGGAAATGAAATGATAGGATAGAGACGATCGCGTAGCGAGGTGACATGACCGAATAACACCAGCACGAACATTCGGCTCGGCTCTAGTAAGGACTGCTTGCACTTGGGGAATCCCACTCGCCCTCAAAGCGCGAGCAATTTAGCGAGTTTCAGGCGTTCGTACATGCTGGCTGGCGCGGCCGATCCGCTTCAACTCTGGCTCCGCGCCAGTGCAGGCCGATCCGACGCGCGATCTGCCCAGATCCGGCTTCTCGAATCGAAGCTGACCGATACCGCCCGCGATCCTCGAGCCTCGCTCGTCGATCCTCGCACCTCGAGCTTCGAACCTGGAGCTCCGAGCCCGGATCCTCGATCCTCGATCCTCGAGCCTCGACCCTCCGCCGATCAAGGCTCGACGCTCGACTCGAGGATCGATCGAGAGGGAGGCGCGACCGCGCATCCTCGCAGGAACGGGCGCGCACCCGCGGGGCATGGCTCCCGGCCTGCTGGAGGCCTCCTAGATGGTCGGGGCAGACGGGGTCGAAGGATCGCGCCGCTTCGCCAATGCATCGCGGATGTATCTGCGATGCATCGGCGACGTCGGCGATACATCGGCGACGTCGGCGTGGGAAAACACGGGCGCCACATCGAGCCGCATAGTCGATGCATCGGCGATGCAGCGCGATCATCCGACCCCATCCACGCGGACCCCATGTAGGAGGCCTAAACCTGCTCTGCGAGGCGAGCGCGCGCGCCGGGCAGGGCCCCAGCCCTGCGGGACGGCAGGCTCGGGCCAAGGTGGCGTGCTCTGGCGGCGCCAGGCAGCGGCGAGGGCCTACGGCCGGTGCAGCAGCGCCCTCCTGGGCAGCAGGCGATCGATATCGCATCGAGGGGGTGGAGCCGGGGGCATTGAAAAAATCGAGCGGGCGGTAATGGGGGTTGACCCGAATGGGAGGGTGATGACAAGGGCCCTAAAGAGGCCCTAATTTGGGTCTCGGGGCCCCAATTTGGGTCTCTCCCCATTACCGCCCGCCCGAACAAATCCAGCCTCTGGAGGCCACATTCGTTATCCATGCTCGGGCCCCCCCTCCCCTGGCAGCCAGAGTGGGGGCAGCAACAGGGGTATGGATCGAACGTCGATGCCCGAGATGCAGCAACAATCGCGACGACGACGACGAGAACGAGGACGGGACGACGACGAAAACGACAACGAAAGTGATAACAAGCACACGACGGTGGCGGCGGGCAATGGACGACGCACGGCGAACGATCTACGGCGGGCGACTGAACGACGACGATGCCGAACGGCTACGCTAGCTACGGCCACAAGCACGACGATCATGTCCCCCAGTGAGGCCCCCAAAAGCGCAAATATCAACATTAAATCAATGTGTCGGCGCATGTGTTGCCAACGCAGCGTTGCGATGACTACTATCCGTTTGGACACATGCAGGGATCAGACGTACGCAGGACATCATGTTCCCACTCCTCCAGCTCCTCCTCTTTGAGTTGCTCCCCCAATGACCATTCACCTGTTCTTCTTCTCTACCCCACCCCCCCCCACAGGTCTCGAGATGCACGCTCGTGGGAAGGCCGCTGGAGAGCAGCAGGAGGGAAAAAGGCAGGGGAAGAGGGAGCAGGAGGAAAAGGACGATGGGGACGGAGGCGGAGGATGGAAAGGGTTCTTCCTCCCCTGTTCCTCCTTCCTGTTACCCGTTTCCTCCTTCGCCCTCATTCTCACGATTGTCATCTTCCTCCTCCGCTTCCTTCCTGTCCCGAATATCCCCGGGTTCCCGTCCACTGTTCCACCCTCTGCAGCTACCATGTATGAATACTGCTCGCCTCTCTCTCTCTCTCTCTCTCTCTCTTCTGATATAGTGGTGCGCAGCGGCGCCCCATCCCGCATCTGTTTTGGTCTCTCTCTCTCTCTCTCTCTCACACACAAGATTCCCAACATCGCTTTGTGGTCCTGAGTATTTGTTTCTCCCAACAGGTCGTTCTGAGCCCTTCCAAAATGGAGTTCCTGCTGCAATGCTGTCCACATTTTGAAATAGTCGCGGCGTTTCCGCCCAACGGGGAGACACTCTCGCTAAAATGCTGGTCGTCGTCGCACTTTTTCCCTGCACGTTCTTAATGTTGCAGTTCGTCCTGCTCCTTCTCCTCTCTCCTGCCACCCCTGATCATTGTTCAACGTCGTTCTGCATGGCGCTTCGTATTCGTCATCGTCCGGATGGTGGACTGATTGTGACGTATCCCGTGCGACCCGCAGGAAAGGACAGATCGCTCTCCAATCAAGCGCGCCTTCGGGTGCGCGTATTTATGCGAAGCTACGCGCAGTCGGTGTTCCGTTGTCTGGCGGGCTCATCCTGACTTGTGCACCAAGGTTCTGCGCAAATATTAGCTCCGTTGCGCGATGTTCCGATATGCGTTGCTGTGCTGTGCTGCTGTATGCGGTGGCATGACGTGCTTAACTCTACGATGCAACGGCACGCGTTGCCCTTAGGTCCAATGGTTGGCTATGTCATGCCACAGTGTGCGACGAAGTGCAATGCTCTGGTACACCATGCTCCTGAGTGGCATGACAAATTATGCGCCGTGGCAGTTTGTCCTGGTTTACTACGCCATGCCATGCTATACGATTCTATGCTAACGAAAGTTACGCAGCGCTGCTGCGCCTTGCCATGCTGTTGAACTATAGTTCCACTAATTTGGCAATATGTTGCAGTGTCAACCCTGTATGCGTTCTTTCATCATGAATCATACCCCTGTTTGCGGGAAGAACGAGCGGGCGCCAACGAGTTCGCAATGCGCTCGCATATGGCCTAATATCCTTCCGCATTTCCTGTCCATGTCCGTCGTGGCCCTCCTCCTCCTCCTCCTCCTCTTCCTCCTCCTCCTCCCCCTCCTCCTACTACGCTCCCTCCCCGTCCCATTCGCCGAAGCTCTCCCCACGGTCTTTCCCCCGTTGTCCCCATTCTTGTCTCCAGTTCACTGGACAGCTCGTCTGTATTGGTACGATGTACAGATACAAAACCATAATATGAACATATATATACATATATATATACACACACGTATACATATATGAGAGAACGCGTTTCACGGGCGCTTGCCTGGGGAACATTCGGCTGCCCCCCCACCCAACACTCGGCGCCGCTGATCAAAACCAGGGGGGCTCCCCTCCCCCCCAACCCCCCCCTCCCAAACCCCCCCAAACCCCTCTCCCCCTCGGCGCTGGAGCCGGCGCTGGCGGCCGCCAGCAGCGCCCACGGCGGGAACGCAGCGACGATGACCAGAGGCAGCACAAAGGGGGGGGGGTTCAAACCCTCCCCCGTCGCGCCGGCGCCGGCGCTGGGGGCGGCCAGCAGCGCCGGCGCTGGCGCCGGCGATGGCGGGGACACAGCGACACTTACCACCACTACCGCCACCACCACCAGTACCACCACCACCACCGCCTCAACCCACCACCACCACCACCCCACCACACAATCACGACCACCACCACCACAAACAGCACCACACAACCACCACCACCACCACAGCCACCACCACCACAACCACCACCACAACTCACCATCACCACCACCACCACAAAAACCTACCACCACTACCACCACCACCACCACAATCTACCACACCACCACCACCACCACCACCGCCACCGCCACAACCACTACCAGCAGAACAACCCACCACCACCACCACAAACCACCACCACCACCACCACCGCCACCACCACAACAACAAACGTCCACAAACCACCGCCACCACCACAACACCACCACCACCACACCACCACCACACCACCACACCACCACCACCACCACTACTCACCATCACCACCACCACCACCACAAAAACCACCACCACTACCACCACACCACCACCACCACCGCCACCACCACCACCACCACCACCACCACAATCTACCACAACACCACCACAAACGCCACAACCACCACTACTACCAGCAGCAAAACCCACCACCACCACCACAAACCACCACACCACCACCACCACCGCCACCACCACCACCACCACCTCCACAAACCACCGCCACAACCACAACCAACCACCACCACAATTACAAACCACCACCACACCACCACCAAACCACCACCACCACCACTACAACCCGCCACCACCACCACCACAAACCACCACCACACCACCACCAAACCACCACCACCACCACCCACCGCTACAACCACCACCACCACAACAAACCACCACACCACCACCGCAACCACCACCACCACCGCCACCACCACCTCCACCACTACCCACCACCACCACCGCCGTCCTCGTCGACGCTCCCCGCCACCGCCGCTCGCCGCCGCTGGCGCCGGCGCCGGCCCAGAAAAGGAAATCGTCGTCCCCGCCACCGTCGCCAGCCGCCGCCGACACAAGCGCCGGCCCGAGGAGAGGGGAAGCAGAGGAGGGAAGTGGGGGGGGGAGGGTTCGAAACCACCACCACCCGTCACGGGAGGGGGGGGGGTTCGAACCCCACCCCCGCTGTCACGGAGAGGGGGGGGGTTCGAACCCACCCCCTTTTCATCCAGGGGGACGGGGGGGGGTCCAGTTTCCCCCTCCCCTCCAAGCGACCACAGAACGCGCTCTTTCACATACACATATGTATATATATGTATGTATATACACATATTTGTGTACATCTAATATATATATATATATATGTCTATATATATATATATAGATATCTACGTGTGTACTAGAACCACGCGTGCGCTTCGCGCGCGCTTAGATTCTAGCAAGCTCTAGTTGTAGTGTAAAGTAAGGACATCGACTGACGCACTGGTCGTGCCCTCAGGGGGCTCTACCTGCGGCCCCATAGCCAAGCTTGGCTAGCGTTCCCCCGCCCTTGTCGGCACACCCCTTCACAGGGATCGCGCCCCACTGCGAGCTCCACTTACGTCCCCAGAGACAAGGTTCGCATAGTACGCCCCTCACGCGGCTCGTGTCCCGTGGCACCAAAAAAAAGCTACATAACGTCGCCACGCTCACTTCGGCACACCTCTCACACGGATCGTGGCCCGCAAAAGTTCCACGGACAACCCTAGACACAAGGTTCGCATACTGCCCTCCCGTCTACTTCGGCACACCTCGCACACGGATCGTGGCCCACAGGGATCTCCACCTACGGCCCCATAAGCAAAGTTCGCACTGCGCCCCTCTGGCCATTGCGGCACACCCCATCACGCGGATCGTGCCCACAAGGAGCGCCACCTAAAGGTCCGAAGACAAAATTCGTACACCACTCCCCCTCCCATGTCGGCAGACCCGTCACGCGAACCATGCCCCAGACGGAGCTCCACCTATGGCACCAATGGTTAGCTTCGCATGGCGTGCCCCCGCCCAGTTCGGAAAATGCCTCGCACGGATCGTGCCTGGAGGTCCACCTGTGGCCCTACAGTCAACCCGTATCCTAAGGATGCGCGATAAGGATGCACGGGTTGACGTTTCTCGAACGAGGTTGGCCAGTCAAAGTCGCTAAACATGGGCCGAAGGGGCAAGGATGAAAGGATACCCTTGGGAAGGTTGCCCATCCTTACTACGCGGGTTGACTCTAGTGGGGGCGTTCGCGCGATGGTATCCGATCATTCGGCACACCCTTCATGCGGATCGTGCCCTACAGAGAATTCAGGAATCCAACACACCCGTGCACGCGTGCTCCGCACCAGCCATCTTCCCGCATTGCCCCGCGGCGCACCAGTGTGTAAGATGAGAGGCCCGCGCCCTGCGCTACGCATGGCTGCACAAAGATGGGTCCGTCGCGCCACACCAACGACTCG